ACGTAGGAACCAAGAGTCCAGAACCTGCTCCACCCCAGGGTCTGGTAATATATATGAATCCAATTGACGAGTTATGCTCTAACCAGTTTATGATATCTTATGTACTGTAGATGTTTTGGGTTTGTTTCTTCTCTGATCTAGTAGTACTGTTTTAGTATTGATGTACCAGTGTTCCTGTGATGTGAACTTTGGATAGTCGGATCATTATTTTTGACAGCATTGTAATCTTTTCTTTATCTAAAATCAAGCTGTGCATGTTTAATTCTTTGTACAATATATTCTTTCAAACCTCACTTTCCACTTCATTTTTTGTTAAAAATATTTGGTCCCATTTAGCATCACATAGCAAGGAGCACAGCTTGTTGAAGTTGGCTTTTTTGACATGTATAGTTTTAGTGGTAGCCTCAAGTCTCTCTTTCCCTTAACTTACATCAAATATAATTACACTATGATAAAAAATTGCCTTAGTTGTCCCTAACTTACATGTCTGAAATGAAATCTGTATTATTAGAAATCACCAGATGTAGCAAAGCATTTTTATAGTTGGGGCTTATACAATGTGACCCATAAAATTATCCTGTAGAGTGTTTAAGAACTGGCCAGTGTTAGTTGACCGTGCAGTACTATTTGTGTAATGAATGTGTCGAAAATTGAAGTCCCCTATAATAACAACATTACCTAGTTTCCCAGCTAATTCTCTCTGTGAAAGGAGATTCCTCTCCTCCTCTCCCCTTTAATGTTAGGCAGCCTGTTACTTATTCCCATAAATAATTTACTATTAGTAGCACTCATATGCAACTCGAGCAATAAGGATTCTGCTCCAACACCAGACTCATTTGTGATATCCTCTCTCACACTAACTTTCAGATTGAGCTTGACATATAGGAATACCCCCCATCACTTCTGTTAATCCTGTCCCTCCTAAAAGGAGTGTAACCCTGGATATCTGCAGCCAATTCCTGTGAGCAGTCCATCTAGTTTTCTGATATTCCCACAAAGTCAAAATCCTCCTCTTCTAGCATTTGTTTACATGTTTTTAAATTTTGTTTTAGTACCTAGTAGGTTATTATGTCTTACTATTGTATTACAGTTCACAATTGCTAGACTTCGTGCATTGGTCATTACTCTTGCAGCTTGAGGGAGTGTTCTGCTCCAGCACTGCCACTCCTGATCTGATATCCCCAAATTCATGCAACTGGGCATATTTATTAGGAGGTATTACCTCTGGACTAGTCTTTCTTTTTGTTTTCCCCATCTCATCTTCCAACCCAGCTACTTACCATTGGATCCTGCTACCCCATTTCTCTACCCTTCTTTATGCTGGCCACTGCCAGCACCTAATGAATAAAGTTAAATAAAGAAAAAACTCTTTTCCAAGTTGTTATTACTCCTTACAGTAGTGTTGCCAGCTGATTCTTTTCAATTAGAATCTAGACTTCCAAACAAACAATTTGCTCACATCTTGCACAACAGTATTGGCCCTTTGGATGGTTGCTCAAGGAGCACATACATTGAGCAGTGTTTGCACCATGTTGCATTACCACTCATGGAAGACATGGTTGCCTCTAGCTTATGGGAATGCTCATTTTTAACCCTTTGTTAGGACAGTGAGTGTTCAAATCTAGTTTACAACTTATAATGAAATCTGCCAGCACAGTAGAGACAGGGTTAATTAGAGTAAACATAACTTCCCACAACCCCCTGCTTAAAATTACATAGAAGGGAAGCGAGGTAGGATTTTTTTTTAGCACTTAAAAATATAAGCGGTATTTTTAAAATATATATTTTTTTAAAGTTAAGGTATGTGAATGAAAACATTTATCAAATACAAAATAGGTGTTATTCCATTCTGGCACCAAAAGTGGAAACACTTTCAGCCTGATTTTCTCAGCAACCCCTACAGTATACTATGCCCTTATGTTAACTGCTTTGGACTTCTACTATAAGTAGTACTGTTTTAAATTAGTTATAGACTACCTCTGCACTACCTAGAGCAAAACAATTTGTACAGTGCCCCAGCAGTTATCACAGTACCCCTGCAATAATTGCAGTGCCCCAGAAGTAATTATGGTGCTTCAGCAGTAATCACAGTGCCCCAGCAGCTGTCATGGTGCTCCAGCACTAATCACAGTGACCTTAGTAGTACTCCCAGTGCCTCAACAGTGATCACAGCGCCCCTAGCAGTACTTACACTGTCT